GACCCAACAGAATGCGGAAATCATCGGACAATCTCTTTGATGTCTCAAGCGAGTAAAGTTTTGCTAAAGGTAGTACAGAAACAGCTACAGTCATACATTGACAGAGAACTTTCAGAGGTTCAAACTGGATTCAGAAGAGGCTGTGGAACGAGAGATATCATTGCTGATGTCCGATGGATCTTGGCTGAAAGCAAGAGAATATCAGAAAGATGTTTACCTATGCTTTATTGACTACGCAAAGGCTTTCAATTGTGTAGATCATGACAACCTATGGACAACATTGCGAAGTATGAGTTTTCCAGAACACTTAATTGTACTTTTGAGAAATCTGTACCTGGACCAAGAAGCAGTTGTTCAAACAGAGCATGGGAACACTGAATGTTTTAAAATTGGGAAAGATGTGCAACAAGGTTTTGTTCTTTCACCATTATTATTCAACCTGTACCCTGAGCAAATAATATGAGAAGCTGGGTTCTATGAGAAAAACGTGGCGTCAGAATTGGAGGAAGACTCATTAACAACCTGCGATATGCCGATGATACAACCTTGCTTGCTGAAAGTGAAGAGGACTTGAAACATTTACTGATGAGGATCAAAGAACACAGCCTTCAGTATGGATTACATCTCTTTATAAAGAAAATGAAAATCTCACCACTGGACCATAAACAACATTCTTATCAATGGAGAAAAGATTGACGTTGTCAAGGACTTCATTCTTCTTGAATCAACTATCAACTCTCGCAGGAGCAGCGGTCAAGAGATCAGGCGACGTATTTCATTGGGCAAATCTGCTGCACAGGAACTTTTTAAAGTGTTGAAGAGCAAAGATGTCAGCTTGAGGACTAAGGTACGCCTGACCTAAGCCATCATATGGATGCGAAAGCTGAACAGTGAATAAGGAAGATCGTAGAAGAATTGATGCCTTTGAGTTGTGGTGTTAGAGGAGAATACTAAAGTGCCATGGACAGCCAAAAGAACCAATAGATCTGTTTTGGAAGAAGTGCAGCCAGAGTGCTCCTTGGAGGCCAAGATGGCTAAACTTCGTCTCTCATACTTTGGACATGTTGTCAGGAGGGAGCAGTCACTGGAGAAGGATGTCATGCTGGGTAAGATGGAGGGTCGGAGAAAAAGAGGAAGACCCCCAACGAGCTGGATCGGCCAGGTGGCATCATTGATGGCATCAAGTGTGGCAGCGGTGGTGAGGTTGGCCCAGGACCGGACATTGTTTTGTTCTGCTGTGCATGGGGTCACTATGAATCAGTTCCAACTCGATGGCACCTGACAACAACAACAACAGCAGAAATATTGCTGATCCTGTTGTGTTTCTAGTCTCAGAGTATTTCGTAATTTCTTGCAAACTCATCAGTTTTTAGGAAGTATGATATATGTGAGTGCATATCATTTTTCGTATTTACACATTTATATGTGTGTGCATACATACATAAAATATAAATCTAGTATTTCTAGACTTTTGTTTTGTTTGCAGAGTGTTTATGGACCTCTATTGTTAGAAACTGAACTCTGTCCTTCACTTTTTTCCTTTTTCTAAAGTTTATTTTGTTCTTTTTAAGAATATATGCAGCAAAACATACGAATTCAATAATATCTACATGTAAAATTTAGTGACATAGATTATATTTTTTGATTTGTGCAACCATTCACACCATTTTTTCCTGAGTTGTTGTTCTCTCATTAATATAAACTTGTTTGTTAAGTATAGTCGAGTTAGTTTTGACTCTTAGTGATCTTATATAGGGTTTCCGAGGAGCAGCCGGTGAGCTTGAACCGCCAGCCTTGTGCTGCAAACCTATCTTGCAGTCCAGCGCTTTAACTCAAACAATGCCACACCAGGACTCTTGCCCCCTACAGTTTCTAGGTTTCTGTCTAATCCTTAAGCTGCTGTTGTCGATTTGATCCCATCTTAAAAGAACCTAATACTCATGGAAGTCATGTTTTACTAGTCAGGCTAAACTGTTGTTCAGTGTGAAGATAACTTCAGGGTATATTTTTATTTTAGGGCTTAAAGATTATCTCTGGGCAGTAGTCTCCAGAAAGTCTAGAGTTTGAGAATTTGAAATCCTGTTTTGCATTTTCCCTCATTTGTTCAGGATTGTTTGAACGTTTGAACAAATGTTCAGTAATGGTAATTGAGCACCTTCCAGTTTTCTGATCTCACAGCAAAAGAAGTGATTATTCTTGGGGACCATTACCAACACATTCCATATCTTCCTCCTGTTCCTGACTCCTCCTTCCTCCTGATCCAGGCATATAGAGAGCAGTGTTGTGCCTTGGATGGTCACTGGCATTTTAAGAACACAGGTACTACACAACAAACTAGGAATTCTAACAAAGGCAATGTTAGGCCATCCAACTGAGATTTCCCATGAAACCATGACTCTAAGCCTTCAAACCAAGAACCTAAATCCCATGAGATGTTGATTGTAAATTGTCCTTTGCTTTTTAATAAAAATTTTCTCTTATCATATAAAATAAGTAATCACATTTTTTTCCTCTTGTCATCTGTTCTTACAGGTGAGCAGTAGGTCATCCAGCCCTAGTATCAGAATGATCACTACCTCAGGACCAACCTCCGAAAAGTCAGCTCGAAGTCATCCTTGGACCCCTGATGATTCCACAGGTGATAACTTTATTTCCTTGTTCTAATTATGAAGCAGTTGAATTCATCATATTTACATTCATTTAGTCATGCCCTTACTACAATCTTATTAACATAGACAGTATATAATAATTTGGATTTTCATATCAAAAATCACACATTTAGTAGTAGGACTCCTGGTGTGGCACTGTAAGATTAATACTGGACTGCAAACCACAGGGTTGGCAGTTCAAACCCACCAACTGCTCCTCGAAAACGCTGTTCAGGGTTTCTATGAGTCAGAATCGACTTGATGACACAACAGAATTTTACTTTAGCAGTAAATTTTTAAATATCTTTGAATACTAAGACAAAGACTGTCCTGCTTTTCTGCATTTTCCCCCAGATACCAAGCATGTATTTGAAGATAGTTTGTTGTAGATTTTTGCAGTTAGGAAACATTGTATTGTTAGTAATTCAGTATTTGATTTCCCTACTATACCTATATGCTCCTTCTACTAGATTTTATAAGAAAAAGCCATTGTCTATTAATGCTAAATCAGCAAAATGATAAAAATTATCATAATTATTCAGTTTAGTTTAAAGACATAAGTTAATCATACACCTTAGTGAGAAAAAATTTACCATTAAATACCTTAAATTATGTATACTTGATAGGAGGGCTGCATTTCAGCGACATAGTTATTCTATCAAATAGACCATAGAGAGCCTGTTGTTAGCAGCCATGAAGTCAGTTTTCTAATCATAATGACTGTATACAACAGCACAAACCACTGCTCAGTCCTGCAGCAGCTTCACAATCACTGTTACATTTGAGTCCGTTGTTGCAGGCACTGTGCCAATCCGTATTGTTGAGGGTCTTCTTTTTCCTGAACTTGTACTGTATCAAGCATGATGCCCTTCTCAGGGACTGGGCTCACCTGATAACATGTCCATTCTCACTTCTAAGGAATCTTCTTGCTACACTTCTACCAAAACAGAGTTGTTCATATTTCTAGCAGTCCATGGTTACTCAATATTCTTTGCAAATACCACAATTCAAATGCATCAGTCATTTTTCTAGTCTTCTTTATTCATTAGCCACCTTTCACATGAATGTGAGTTGATTAAAAATAACATGGCTTAGGGCAAGTGCTAAGTGTGAAAATGCCATTTTTGAATTTTTACACTTTAAAGAGGTCATTTGCAGCAGATTTGCCTGTTGTAGTAATGCAGCATTTGATTGCTTAACTGCTGCTTCCATGAGTGTTGACTGTGGACACTTCTAGTCTTTTCCCATTTATCATGATGTTGCTTATTGGTCCATTTGTGAGGACTTTTGTTGTCTTTATGTTGAGTTGTGATCCATACTGAAAGCTGTAGTCTCTGATCTTCATCAGTAAGTATAAGTCCCCCTCACTTTAAGCAAACGAGGTTGAATCACATGCCTGTTACAGGTTGATAATGAGCCTTCCTCCAGTCTAGATGCCAAATTATTCTTCACATAATCCAGCTTCTCAGATTATTGACTCAACATGGAGATTGAATAAATGTGATAAAAGGATACAGCCCTGATGTACACCTTTCCTGATTTTAAGCCACGCAGTAGCTCTTGTTTTGTATGAATACAACTGCTTCTTGGTTTTATGTACAGGTTCCTCATGAGCCCAATTAAGTGTTCTGGAATCCCCATTTTTTTATAATGTTATCTATAATTTGTTATAATGCACACAGTTAGATGCCTTTGCGTAGTCAATAAAGCTCATGTAAACATCTTTCTGGTATTCTCTGATTTCAACCAAGATCCATCTGACATCAACATTGATATCCCCTTTTCCAAGTCTTCTGAATCTGGCTTGATACTGCTGCAGCTGATTATGAATTACCTTCAGAAAAATGTTGCTTGTGTATTAAGATACTTAATGTGTGATACTGAACTTGTTATGAGTTGTTAAAAACTCAACAGTATGAATTATAACTAGGCACAGTGTTGGTATTAAAAGCTGTCTATCAAGGGAAAAAAACGTATCTGCCTGAAGATGGAGTCCTGGTGTGGCATTGAAGGATTAGCACTGAACTGCTAACCACAAGGTCAGCAGTTCAAACTCAGCAGCCTCTCCTAGGAAACCCTTTACAGGTCACTATAAGTCAGAACCAACTTAATGGCACTTAACAACAACAACATCTGAAGATAGTAATGGTATAGATTCATTTAGGCCAACCGGAAATGATGAGCCATACAGAATTAGCATTTCCCCAACATTAAAAGAGTACCTTGACATATAATGATATACTTCTATAGAAACAAATTTTTGTGTTGATAAGTCAAATGTGAGAACGATGATTTCTTAGACCTTGCAAAATTACATCATTAGACATTTTACTTTGGATCAGCTGTATTATTAATAGTGGCAATTAAACTGAAATTCAAAAGTCAGCTTTTTGTTTTTATCAAACTAAACTGCTCCTGTGTATTTATAAATATTTGGCATGGTTTAGTCAACCTTATAATTTAATTTTAAAATTAACTGAGTGGCTTTTCTCTGTAACATGTAAGGTAGATCTACATTTAGTCAGGGATGTCACTCTCATTTTTAGTAAGCATAAATTTAGTGATGACAGAAGCTCCGAAAGTTTTCCCCTGTTGTTAGTGCGATGGAGTTGGTTCCAACAGATAACAGTTAAAGTTTCCAAGGAGCAGATAGTGGGTTCCAAACTGCCTACCTTGCAATTTTGAATGTAGGATGATAAAGCCAGCACTTATCCTGCAATGTCACACCAGAAATCCCAAGTTTCATCCCAAGCATAGAATATCTAGGGTTATCCAGGACATTCAACAGACAGCATAGATGCAGAATTTGTCATTAATGTGCTCCCCAGAGGCAAACAGGAAAATGCTCTTGTCACATTTTAGGTTCTAGAACCCTCCAATGAGAAATATTCTAACAATAAGGGCATTTTCCTGGTCTTGAAATACAGCACTCAGTTACCAACCAAAGAGTTGGTGGTTCAAACCCACCAGCCACACTGTTGAGAGAAAAATGGGACAGTCTGCTTCTGTGAAGATTTACGGCCTTGGAAACTCTATGAGGAAGTTCTGTTTTATCCTATAAGGTTGCTGTAACTCACTGGGTTTGGTTTTTTGGTTTTGGTCTCTCAACTTGGTGAAACTTCTTTGCCTCAGTCTATGATAAGAGTCACCATGTGGCCGGTTACGGTTTCATGAGAATAAAGTAAAAATTCTATGAACTGCCTCTTAACTTTTGTCCACTTCATGTGTTCTCCAGTCCTTCCAACTCTTGTCTCATATTTCTTTCTTTCTAGTACAAAACACCAGTAACTAGAAGTCTTACTACTATGCCTCAGTTGCAGTACCATCTACGAAATTTTATCTTTGCTTTGAAATATCTTGTAAATGTATGGCTGTCATTTTTAAAAATTTTGAATACAAGTTTAGTAATTGAGACTGTGGTTTACATTTGTGTGGTAGTCATAAGTTCAGCTTTATACAATTTCCAATACTTGTAAAAGTATTGATTAATAAGCAATAGAATAAATTATGGGTAAAAGCTTTTTCTTTGAAGGCCCACTCACCCAAGGAAAAAAAAATAGGAGTATACATATAAGTTAAAACATCTGCGTAATTAGATTTTTTTTTTATTTAAAAGGGGAGAAATATTTGCATGCTTTCAGAGAAAAATAGGGACACAACAATGTAATAATCATAGTAGATAATAAGTGCTCTGTAGTTTCAATGTGTAATATAATCATAAACAATGATATGCCTATCTAAAAGATATAGTAAGAGGTGCTTAAACCAGAGGAAGCTACAGAGGGAGAAAAACTCATGAAAGAGTTTCTGTGCTTATTACTTTGCAAAGATGGAAATGTAAGACGGGCGCATTGCGTACACAATGTGGTTAGAGTGATTTTTGTTATTGTGTGACATCGAGTCGGTTCTGACTCATAGCAGCCTTGTATAGGGATTCTGAGAGCAGCTGGTGGGTTGGAACTGCCAACCTTGTAGTTAGCAGTTCAGTGATTATCCTACAGTGTCACACCAGGGCTCACAGTACTTATTTTAATATACATTAAAAATAAGTTCATCACAGTACATAATATTATATAATAGGATTCCTGATGGGGTGCTACAGGATAATACACTGGACCACAAAATCAGTTTGAGCTGCAAGGTCAGCAGTTCAAACCCACCAGCTGCTCCTCAGAAACCCTATACAGGGTTGCTATGAGTCAAAACCGACTCGACAGCACTTAACAACAATTATATAATAAAATAAATTTGCTTTAAACTCATTATGCTTTAGAATAAAGTAATAAGTTTGTCTTACTAGCTGAGTATTTTAATAATTAAAAGAGAAATCAATAAAATATGATCTGGTATAGTCCTTACTTTTTTGTAAAATATTGATGGAAATCTAATCATAAAGCAGAAGGGAGAAGATATTCCATCTGAAGAGAACACGTTCTTTAAAGAGTTATAGATCATAAGTCTTGTGTGTCGTGTACCAGAAAAGTTTCTCCCACTTAATTTAACCAAATCAATGTGAGTCTTATCATTCAGAGTAAAAGGCTAAGTTACATAAGTAATTGAAATATTAATTTAAATGAAAAAAAGAACTGTCGTGAACTAACCTTGTTATCTTAGAACCAGTTATTGCTAGTAGAGGCTAAAAGCTAAATTTAAAATCTAGAAAAGTATAGATACAAGTGAGAAAGTGAAATCCTACTTCTTGGCTTTAGAGAAAGGATGAAAATTAAATAAAGGATCTTAAGTTCCTCACCATGCAAGGGCTTTAATTGTTAGTGTAACACAGTCCTTGGATTCTGTTTCCATCTTCAAAATACTATGAAGCATTGATATGTTGTACTTTCTGCCAAGATATTTAGTAGATTCAGCATGCTGATATAATTTACATCAAATTGCAAAAAAAAAAAAAAAAACTAAGAAAGAGCAAAAAGAGTAAAATCACTAAATTTAGGGAAATCTTTCAAGTCACTTAATTTCTCCTATAAAGCCCAAGGGAAGTAATTTTTAATCAGTGTTAGTTTTATGTAAAACTGTGTTCTGTGGGAGCTAGTTTGAAACCGTTATTGGGAGTTGAGAGAGGGTTTGTTAAAGTAATAATAAATGACTTTTGTTTAGTCTCTTACTTTATGTTGAAATAAGATGTTAAGTAGTACTTTAAGACTCTGCTAGGCAATACTTTATTATTGTTTCACTCCACTATTTCATAAACATTACCTTTTCAATCTGAAACACAAACAATTTAAAATGGCCCTTCGTTCTTCCTGACTTGCCATTTGTTAGAGCAATGATAACTACCACCACCACCACGAGCTGAGTACTTGGGATAGGTCTGCTCTGTATGGTGTTCCTTACTTAATGCATTGTCTCATTTGATCTGATTTAACTTAATTTTGCAAGCTCATCTCTTTGACTTAAAAAACAAAACTATATTATCAGTCAACAATAAATAAGGTTACAGAACAATCAAATTGTCTTCACTTTTTATTGAATTGACTGTAGTGTCTTTGCTGACATTGCCTTTATTCACCACTTCCTAAAGGAGTTGCTTATCAGAAAAAGGGCTAGACAAAGTCAATGATTTTTTCTCTCCTAAAATGGGAAAGAATCTTGGTATGGTGCTGTAAGATAAGCACTGAGCTTCCAACCACAGATCAAATGAGACAGTGTATCAGGTTATCAGGTTTACTTTCAGTTTCTAGGACTTCACAATTGCACTTTTTACGTAGGAGCTCTACCACATAAACATTACCATTAAGAAAAGACCATCTCTTGTTTCTCGTGCAGATTGTTAAGGCAGTCTTTCCTCTCTTGAAATGCCAACAAAGCAGTCTGTTCAAATTTGATAAATGGACTACTTTGAATTCGTCTCACTGAAACCAGTAAAGTATAAATTCACTGGCAGGGAATGTGTCCATTGCTTTTTCTCTTTCCCTGTTTTAATATATTTTTTTAACATTCTGTATTGATTAAAGTTGTTGTTGTTGTTAGGTACCATCAAGTCGGTACAAAACACTGCCCACACTGCCCGGTTCTGGGCCAGCCTCACAACTGTTGCCATGCTTAAGTCCATTGATGCTGCCACTTTGCCAATCCATCTCACTGGGGGTCTTCCTCTTTTTTTCTCTGACCCTCCACCTACCAAACATGATATCCTTCTCCAGCAGCTGGTCCCACCTGACAATATGTCCGAAGTAGGAGAGACGAAGTTGGGCCATGCTGGCCTCCAAGGAGCACTCTGGCTGTACTTCTTCCAACACAGTTCTGTTTCTTCTTTTGGAAGCCCATGGAACTTTCAATAGTCTCCTCCAATACTTCAACTCAAAAGCATCAATTCTTCTATGGTCTTCCTTATTCACTGTCCAGCTTTCCCATGCATATATGAGGTTATTGAAAATACCATGGCTTGGGTCAGGCACACCTTAGTCCTCAAGCTGACATCTTTGCTCTTCAACAGTTTAAAAAGGTCTTGTGCAGCAAATTTGCCTAATACAATATGTCATTTATTTTCTTGACTGTTGCTTCCATGAGTGTTGATAGTTGATCCAAAAATGAAGTCCTTGTCAACTTCAATCTTTCATCACTTGATAAGAATGTTGTTTATTAATCCAGTGGTGAGGATTTTTGTTTTCTTTACATTGAGATGCAATCCATACCGAAGGCTGTGCTCTTTTTGATCTTCATCAGTAAATATTTTAAGTCCTCTTCACTTTCAACAAGCAAGGTTGTATCATATCGCATGCAGGTTGTTAATGAGTCTTCCTCTAATCCTGATGTCATGTTTTTCTTCATACAACCCAGCTTCTCGGATTATTTGCTCAGCATACAGGTTGAATAAGTATGGTGAAAGAATATAACCGTGTCACACACATTTCTTAATTTTAAGCCATTCAGTGTTCCCAGGTTCTGTTCGAACAACTGCCTCTTGGTGTATATACAGATTCCTCATGAGCACAAATAAGTGTTCCGGAATACTCATACTTCACTGTTTTCCATAGCTTGTCAATCAAAAGTCATTGCACAGTAAATAAAAAAGTACAGGTTAACATCTTTCCGGTATCCTCTGCTTTCAGCCAAGATCCACCAGCATCAGCAATAATATCTTCCGTTCCATGTCCTCTTCTGAATCCAGCTTGAACCTCTGGAAGTTTTCTGTCATGTATGCTTCCAGCCGTTTCTGTAATACCTTTAGTAAAATTTTTACTCACATGGGATATCAAAGATACTGTCCAATGATTTCTGCATTCTGTTAGGTCACTTCTCTTTGGAAGGGGCACAAATATGGATCTCTTCCAATCAATCTGTCAGATAACTGTCTTCCAACTTTCTTGCCATAGATGAGTGAGTGCCTGCATTGCCGCCTCACTTTCTTGAAAGATTTCAATTTTTATTCCATCAATTCCTGGAGCCAAGGCCAATTCCTTCATTGTACCTTGAACTTCTTCCTTCAGAATCATTGGCTCATGATCATATACTGTCTCTTGAGATGGTTGAACACCAACCATTTCCTTCTGGTACAGTGACTCTGTGTATTCCTTCCATCTTCTCTTGATGCTTTCCTGCATCATTCAGTAATTTGCCCAAAGAATCCTACAATAATTAAAGTTGAACTTCAATTTTTTCTTCAGTTCCCCCAACTTGAGAAATGTTGAGCGTGTTCTTCCCTTTTGGTTTTCTGACTACAGATCTTTGCACATTTTGTTGTAATATTTGACTTTGTCTTCTCGAGCTGACCTTTGAAATTTTCAATTCAGGTCTTGTACTTCCTCATTTCTTCCATTTGCTTTAGCATCTCTATGCTGGAGATTAAGTTTCAGTGTCTCTTTTGACATCCATTTTTATCTTTTCCTTCTTTCTTGTCTTCTTAATGACTTTTTGCTTTCTTCGTATATGGTGTTCTTGATGTCATTCCACAACTCTTCTGGTCTTTGGTCTTTATTGTTTAATGTATCAAATATGTTCTTCAGATCTCTAAATTCAGGTGGGATATATTCAAGGTCATAGCATTGGCTCCCGTGGACTTGTTTTCATTTTCTTCAGCTTCAGCTTGGATTTACATATGAGCAATTGAAGGTCTGTCTGTTTTACAACTGGCCTTGTTTTGACTGATGATATGGAACTTTTCCATTGTATCTTTCCGAAGATGTAGTCAATTTGATTTCTGTGTATTCCATCTGGTGAGGTCCATGTGTATAAATTGTCTCTTAGGCTGTCTAAAGGTATTTTAAATGAACAAATCATTTGATTTTGCAGAATTCTATCATGCAATATCCAGCATTATTTTCTGTCATCAAGGCCGTATTTTCCAAGTACTGATCCTTCCTCTTTGCTCCCAAACTTTGCATTCCAATCACCAGTAATGATCAATACTTCTTGATTGCATGTTTGATCAATTTCAGATTGAAGAAGTTGGTAGAATTCTTTTATTTCATTCTCACTGGCTTTAGTGGTTGGTGCGTAAATTTGAATAATAGTGGTATTAACTGGGCTTCCCTGTAGGTGCATGGATATTATCCTATATATTCTTTTTGATAATGAAATGCAACACCATTCCTCTTCGATTTGTCATTCCCTGCATAGTAAACCATGTGGTCATCAAATTCAAAATGTCCAATACCAGTCCATTTCAGCTCACTGTATACCTAAGTTATCAATGGTTATGCGTTCCATTTCATTTTTGATAACTTCTAATTTTCCCAGATTCATACTTTGTACATTCCGTGTTCCGATTTTCATTGAATGTTTACAGCTCTTTCTCTTCATTTTTAGTTGTGCCCCATCAGCAACCAACTCAAATTGTTGTGTGAGTGCATTCCAACTATCTGGTCATTGGGTCTCCTCTTTTTACCTTTAGAATTCAAAATAATTTTTTTTCATTACCAGTAGCAATAACTTAAATCCTACATATTGTTTACTTCAGGAAAATTATACCAGACTCCCATGCATGCTTTCTTGCTTTTGGTTTATAATTATTTGTCAGAAAATAAAGCATTTGCTTCAATTCCAGATACTAATGGATCAGATAACTCCATACCAATGGCTTATCTTACACTGGATCACCAACTACAGGTAAAAAGTACTTTTTCATTGAATATTTACTTTTTCCTTATAAAGAAGTTTTATGTTTTAAGCTGACAATTTTATTTGTATCATTATATTTTCATTTATGCCTTTAGATGGTCTTGTTAAATTTTTTAATGCCAAGTTAGATGAGTCTTTCAATTAGGTTTGGTGGTGGTGGTGGTGTGCCATGGAGTCGGTTCCAACTCATAGCAACCCTGTATTGGGTTTCCAAGGCTTTAAATCTTTACGGAAGCAGAAGGTCTCATCTTTCTCCCATGGAATGCCTGGTAGTTTTGAACTGCTGACCTTGAGGTTAGCAGCCCGGCTCCTAACCACTATGCTACCAGAGTTCCTTTCAATTAGGTTTACACATATTAAATTAGCAAAATAGTGTGCTGTTAATTAATAGTCATCTTAAAGTTCTCTGCTGTGTCTTTATTGGTGACTGCTAAGCATAGCATGCTCACTCTTTAATTTTAGTGCATTAAAATCTAAAACCTCATATAAGCTATTTCCTAATTGAGTGTATTTTACAATATACTGTCAGTTCATAGTGACTGAAAATATAAGTAATATACTTAAGTGCATCTTCATGAATACAAGAGCCATAAATATCTTTTTGGAATAATACATAGAATTTGGTAGCCTGAAATGTAATACTACAGGCTCAGAGTAGTACTCTTGGAGTCCTGGTGTGGCGCTGTAAGATAAGTACTGGACCTTTAACGACAAGGTCGGCAATTCAAACCAGCCAGCCAGTCCTCAGAAACCTTATACAGGTCGCTATGAGTCAGAACTGAGTTGATGGCACTTAACAACAAATGTACTGTTGTCACGATTCTCAGTAACTTGAAGCGTTAAACAGCAAATGTAAATTTAAGCTCCTGGGTTAACTCTGACAAGAAGAAATTGAAATTCACTAAAGCATTATTGTTAAGTGTCATAGAGTTGGTTCTTTTTGTATGGTTTCCAGGCAGCAGTTGTTGAGCTTGAACCACCAACTTTGCAGTTGAAACTGACTTTCCTGTCCAGCACATTAACCCACAGTGCCACACCAGGGCTCCTTGCTAAAGCATAGTTTAATGCTTATTTTTAAAGGGTCACTACTTTAGGGTTGCAACAAAATGTATTATAGTCTGCCTTCACTCTTAACTAGATACTGAGAATTGATTTAACATTCCTGATTTATTTCCAGCCTCTAGCACCATGCCCAAACTCCAAAGAATCTATGGCAGTGTTTGAACAGCATTGTAAAATGGCACAAGAATATATGAAAGTTCAAACAGAGATTGCTTTGTTATTACAAAGAAAGTAAGTATTTTTTATGAATAAAAATAAAAGTCCATTAACATTGAAAGTATGAAATATGTTAAACTGCATTATGAATTTAAATTGAGTTAAAACCTGTTTCGAGTTATTGTGTAAAGTCAAGCACTTATAGTCAAGTGCTTATTAGGGTATTGTTTCATTTCCCTTTAAGTGTTTGCCTGTAAAGTTTATTTGAGGATTTTTTTTATTAATTATTCAGTTACATCCAGTATGTCAACTTTAAGAACTTTAAGAATATATTGTCCCTTAAATAAGAAAAGCATTTAGACATAAAGCATTTAGACAACAGTCTTTTCAGGTATGAGTTTGGGAGTGTTGTTGTGACCCTGTATAGGATTACCAAGGAGCGGCTGGTGAGTTTGAAGTTTGAACCATCAACTGTATAGTCAAGTGCTTATTTTAGGGTATTGTTTCATTTCCCTTTAAGTGCTTTCCTGGAGAGTTCTTTACCCAAATTTAGAACCTACCCTCTTGCCCTCTTTTTGTTTTAAGAAATGCAGTCCAATTTCTACACACCTTCATTCATAATTTGTGTTTGATTTTTAATCATCAATTTCCTTAAGCATAATCCTAAAGAAAGTGTACACTTACAAATCTGATTTATGATGGTAACTAAAATAAAATGTTATAAGACGAAAACATGGCAACTGTATGCCTATAGGGAGTCCTGGTTTGGCACTGCAGGATAAGTACTGGACCTCAAGGTTGGTTTGAACTGGAAGTCCAGCAGTGTGAACTCACCAGATGTTCCTTGGAAACTCTGCAAGGGGCCTGTGGTCGAACGGGACTCAAGGGCACTGACCAACAACAGCATAAGCCTACATAGTAATAAGGTTCCCTGTATTAACTAAATATACGAAGACTGCATTTTTTTAAGTAATTTTTAAAAAATTTTCTTTTTGTGCTTCAAAAATTTTTAAAGAAGTAATTTAAACACAATTTACTGATATAATGATTTAAATGAATTCAGCTTTTTAACTTTAAGGCTAAATAGAAAATAAGATACAACTGTGAGGAAATTATAGCCCTGACTGTGGAACTGCTTGACACATAGGTTTAAAAACAAAGCACTTTATATTTCTACCTCACATTCTTAGCCCAGACTGTTGTTGTTTTCTCCTACTTTAGTCTCTAATCAGGAGCCCTGTAAGTGGTGAGGTAGAGGGAGAGCTGTGAAAGTGATGTCCATTATAAATGAAGACTGTTTACATTAAGAACTGAGTTTATTTGAGGATTTTTTAAAATTAATTATTCAATTACATACAGTATGTCAACTTTAAGAACTTTAATAATGTATTGTCCTTTTAATAAGAAAAGTATTTAGACATAAAGAAGTTCACCAGACTATAAAAGATTCTAATTGTTTTCTTTTTTTTTAATGTTTCCAAAAGGAAAGGATTCAAAAGCAGTACTTTAGATTTTTCTCACTGTTTTAAAATAGAAAAGAGACTTAAGTTAGGTAGCATTTATTTTAATTACTTGGATAACGTTCTATCAGCTACAACTTGACACTGTTGTTAATTAAGATTGCGACTTCAAAATAGGGATATCAAAGTAGACCGTGAAAGGTGGAAAACCTCAAATGTTTTTCTGTAGCTTACTAGAGTTTCCCCCAACCTTCCCCTTGCTCCCTACCATGAAAGGAGATACCAAATGAAAATTTATGTAACTTTCATTATACCATTTAATCTGTTTCATTAATTGTCTTTGTATAGCTACTTATTAAAAGGATTATGGCATTGTGTAGTAGAGGATAAGAGCTTCCATTTCACCTCCTAATTAAATGTGAGTGATGCACTTAAGATGTATAATTGAACTCCCATTGTCAGCTAGTAAGGTATGCGTTTTTCCCTCTTGTATTATATTTTATTATGTGATATTTGTTTTTAGGCAAGAACTAGTTGCAGAACTGGACCAGGATGAAAAGGACCAGCAAAATACATCTCGTCTGGTACAGGAACATAAAAAGCTTTTAGATGAAAATAAAAGCCTCTCTACTTACTACCAGCAATGCAAAAAACAGCTAGACGTCATCAGAAGTCAGCAGCAAAAACGACAAGGCACATCATGATTCTCTGGGACCCTTTAAATTTTAAATATGCAAAGACTTGTTTTGTTTTTTAAGGAAAGAAAAGCCCTTATAATGACAGTTTATGAGTGTTAAGCTTTTTTGATGTGTTCTGAATGCCAACTGCCTCTATTGGCTGCATTTGTTTCGTCATTTATTTTCCTGTGCTCATGGTGGACTTGCAACTCAACTGTCTCATTGCATAACATGGAGGCATTGGTGACTTGAATAAGCAGCAATTCTTCACATCCAAACACATGCAGGGAACTGTGGCTGTATATGCATGCTCATGGTGTGAAGGCGAGGCTAACAACAACAGGGCTATCAAACTGGCTGCTGTATGCAAACATTGTCTTTCTTCCTTTCCTTCTTTCCATATTAGAGGTAGACCCTCAATAATGATTTTGTTCACGTATGTCATCTCAAAACATTACTAATGTTTTTTGTTTTTGTTTTTGTTTTTTTTCCAAAATATGGTATATATATATCAAGCTAAAGACAGGGTATTGTAATTGTAGAATAATTGGTGGTACATCACAGAAATATTAAACCTATAGGAATAGTTCAAACCGAGGGTCTTGATACCAGCATCCTTGGATCAGTACTGAACTTAGTTTCATCCATAAAATATTTAAAGGTAAGTGATGGCTGCTGTGTTTAATGAAAGCGAATTTTACACGGTTCCATTCAACTACAATTGGACTATGGTACATTGAATAAAATGGAAGCCCCTTTTTAAAGGGGTAAAGATTTTTAATTCTCAGACTGTGTGGATGTGTATTGAATTGTAAAGCTTGAAATTAAAGAGCAAATGAACGTGATCCAGCATAAATAATCATTCCTTCCTGCAATGATTATTGGATTGTTTCACCATGTATTTGAAAAACTAAAGGGAGTTATTGAAAAATGGAAATACTTGCTCCAGGTAAAGGCTGGACTTTGAATTTCCTTTCACGATACCAATGAAAAATAAACCTGATAAATCAGGAAAGCTGAGCTAGTAAGGAAGCTAAAGAAGTAAATACAGATTCATTAAGTAGCCCACTTCTCCTAAATATTTGGAGAATTTACTTTCCTTGCAAGCCCTCCAAGAGTGCCTGCTGCCTTTCAACACTTTTAAGAGAACATTTCAACACTTATAAAGAGAAATTTTATATTGTTGACAGTAACTTTGCTACCAACTTGAAAATAACTTTAAAGTAATAAAACTTCATTGAAATAATAGACAACAGAAGCTCTATTTTTTCAGTTGGCATTAAAATCAAGTCATTTTGATACCAGTACAAGGTGTCTTTTAAATAAGGATGTCATTGACCTCATTTTTATAGCATTAATGTATGAAGAGAAAATAAGAAATGGAAGCATAATTGCTGTGATTATTAGAGTTATGATTGTGTTGTAGTTTTGCTCTATTTCAGATAAGCAAGTTGGTCTAAGAAGTTATCAAAAATGTGCTTAAAAATGCTACAGCAGGTAATCTTTTCTTCCGTTTTCTCTCCCTCCCACTGAGTTTTATAATGTATTCCTGTGTATACAAGCAATAAAGGTAAAGGTCAGTTTGTACTAAACTGTGTCATTTTTAGCTTCTTCAAAATCTATTATAGGCAGTCCCTGGATTACGAACAAGCTCCATTCCTAAATCTGTCTTTAAGTCGAATTCATATGTAAATCAAACAGTTAGGTAAGATTTGTATCGAACATCACTTAGTCAGATGTTTGTCTTGATATATTGTATATAGTGTGTACTTTTTATGCATAAAGAACATTTTAAAAAATACCTGCAGATACACTAAAGAACATTTTGAACATAATAATACAGTAATAATAATAGTGTTTTCATGCACGTTGTGAAGTAGTACCCGTTTGTTATTGTGAATCATTGTATGTACCTCGAAATTTTACTGTAACAGTCTTTACGGGGTTTGATTCATAACTACGGGTTGTACATAAATCTGGACCGTCATAACCTTGGGACTGCCTGTATTAGAAAGCTTCTGGGAAATAAATGCCTTCTGTTCTTCATTCAAATAAGTTGATTACCTAGCTGAAGCTAATATTGGGCTTAACATACTAAAAGTAAAATAAAATTTGTTGTTGTTAACTGCCGGCAAGTTGGTTCTGACCCATAGCGACCCTGTATAAGGTTTCCAGAGAGCGACTGGTATAGACTAAGGGAAAGTGTAAAAGTGTAAGTCCTCCAGAGCATTGCCGCTTGTACCTACATGTGTCACTCCACCATCAGTGTTTAGAAGCTCTTCTCCTATCTCAGAGCATGAGGTATCCAAACATGAATGATTAAGACTTAGTTTTTCCATTGTTGTTGTTGTTAAGTACCGTGGAGTTGGTTGCAACTCATAGTGACCCTGCACAGGGTTTCCGAGGCTGTAAATCTTTACGGAAGCAGAACGCCTCATCTTTCTCCTGCGGAACCGCTGGTAGTTTCGAACTGCCGACCTTCAGGTTAGCAGCCCGATTTGTAACCACTACGCTACCAGAGCTCCTTAATTTTTCCATTAGGATGTAGCATTATCAATTTCAGATTTTCTCTCTAGTCATTAATGTGTTTTTGCTATCTCATGAAAATTTATTTTTTTGAAATGAAAATTTTATTTTTGTGTCATTATTATATGCAGTCACTTCATATCAAAAGAGATAAATGGGAGAAAACAGTAGCTTTACATAATGATACTGGTGTGGTGCTGTGGGTTAATGTGCCAGACTGCAAACTCGTTTGAACTGCAAGGTTGGCGGTTCAAGCTCACCAGCCGCTCCTCAGAAACCCTATATAGGGTCACTATGGGTCAGACTGGACAGCACTTAACAATAGCAACAACCAAATATAAAAAGCTGTTGAACAGTTGTTTGCTTGTTTGCAATAAGTTGTTGGGAGTTTCTGTACTGTAGCCCTTGACTTTAAGTGCACTATAGTTTTATTGTCCATCTCCAGTTTTTCAAATCCTGAGAACAGCGTACTAGGGCTAACTAAAATTCACAGCCACTTTCACCACTGTCTTCTCCCATCAGACCTTCAGAGAGAGAGATGTCAACAAGGAGCTACATTCTTGTTTAATTCTACTCGTTCAGTTGATTCTAAACCACTTTTGGTGTGGAAATAGCAAACAAGCAAACCAGGGGGCTAAAGTCTCCAGACTAAGAAATTCATCAACTACCCCTGAACAAGCCCTAATTATTTTATTCTTGTCTCCTGGGAAAGCAAGCAAAGCTTTTGCCTAAAGGCGGTGCAGACAATGGGAGGGATATTCCTGAGCAGTAAATTCTAGGGGGGTTTTGAGTCAAATAAAAATAAAGTTAAGAATATTTGCCATATAGCAACAGAGCATCTTGAAGAGGTTTGTGTAAAAGCTGTTTACAAATGTGTGACTGCTTATGCAGAAGCATTTTAGAGTATTGATGTCGTTTTCTCCAAGTTTCTCATGTTCCTGGCTCCAGCTCTTTCTGCCTGCAGCCAGAGATCACAGGCCTTTTCTTTTCTCCTCACCTACACTAATATTTCTTTCTCTCTCTCTCTCTCTCTCTCTCTCTCTCTCTCTCTCTCTCTCTGTGTGTGTGTGTGGTTTTTAGCCACCAGCTGCCCCTTCTTTTTGCTTCAAATGGTAGTAAGTTCTACTTTATGTCATTCAGAACTTTTTATGTAAGATGATGTAATGCAGAAATTCTTATGCATAAAGTGTACTTGAAGGAAGCTTTTTAGATTTATTTTTGTTTTTAATAAAATTCAGATTGTAAATCAAAATTTGTTCGTAAAAATGGTAAATCATTTATGTCAACAAAGAAGCTGTGAGGCATTTTGCTTTAGCAATATTTACCTTATACCAAAACAAATAAAAGTGAAATGTATTCTTAAAATACTCACCATAATCACACTTTTTGAGAGGCCAATATGTCTCCTCCAATTTGAGTTTTTTGGTTAAGAAAGTGCTCTTTGTAATTTCTGTGAATCCTGACTTGTATGCATTACAACATGGCATATACATTGCTAAATGATTCTTCTTTTTAGAAAACATATTTCTCTACCATCGAATGCTTCACATAGCATTTCTAAGGTACATTGAGTATTTTATTCCTTTATCAACTTAATCCTTCCCCAGCTTACACATATGCACATATTCTTATCACTTCTAACTTCAAGTAATGCCATCCACTCATTCACTCATTGCTTAAGCAGATATTTATTGGACACCTTACCATAAGCCATGCTGCTTCCATAGGAGTTGGAAGGTACTGCCCAAGTGTCGAATCTCTGGCTGCTATTAGCACATGATGTGAAAATGAGGAGGAAAAGTTTTAAATTGAAGGACAAACATGAAATAACATAAGAAGCCAGGATCGAAAATTACATGTTTGTCTTTTAAACCCAAATCTATGCTCTAAATAACTTTGCCATACTGCACTTTTTATAAAATTTGTTTATTGTGAGTTGGGTAACGGTTTACAGAGAAGATCAGTTTTACATACTGCATTTGTAAATGTTCACCAAACTTCTGAGGAATTTCAGCTTTCTCATCCCTTTATTGGAGAAGGAAGAGGAGAAATATCTTCATTCTTTCAACCCCCAGCTGAAAGATGCCTATCAAAAAGGAAAATACACATAAACATATTGTGAGGCTTGGTCTGGAAAGAAAACTTGTTCTCCACTCTACAGAAAATTGAGACCTCATTTAGGGTTTTGGGGGCAGATTTAATTTGTTTCATTTGCATTTTTGTCTTTGACTTTGTATTTTTTCTTTTTCATTGAAGTGAAATTCATATAACATAAAATGAACCACATTAATGTGAACAATTCAGTGGCATATATTACATTCACCACCTCTATCGGGAAACATGTTAGCTCTGTAAGATAAGCATTGGACTGCTAAGCACAAGGTTGGTGGTTTGAGACCACCAGCTACTCCAAGGATATTTACAGCCTGGAAACTATATATAAGGTCATTATGAGTCAGAACTGACTCCGCAGCACTTTTAACAACAACAGCAGTAACACCACCTCTATCTAGTTCAAATACATTTCTCATCAACTCAGAAGGAAACTCTGTACCCATTAGCTTCTCAACATCTACCCCAATCTTTAAGGAGGTCTGGTAGTGTAGTGGTTACGAATTGGGCTGCGAACCTTAAGGTCAGCAGTTCGAAACTACCAGCTGCTCCACAGGAGAAAGATGAGACTTTCTGTTCCCATAAAGATTTACAGCCTCTGAAACCCAGTACAGGGTCGCTATGGGTCGGAACTGACTCGACAGCACATACCAACCAACCCCAATCTTTAGCCTTTAGCAGCTATTAGTCTGACTTCTGTCTCTCTGGATTTACCTGTTCTGAATATTTCATATATATAGAATCATGCAATACAGTGACCTTTTGTGTCTAACCTCATTTAGCATAAGTTTTCAAAGATCTTCATATTGTACCATGCATCAATGCTCCATTCTTTTTATTGTTGTTATTGTTAGGTGTTATTGAGTCGGTACCGACCCATAGCGACCTTATGCACAGCAGAGCGAAACACTGCCTGATCCTGGGCCAACTTCACTACCGCTGCCACACTTGAGTCCAGCAATGTTGCCACTTTGCCAATCCATCTTGTTGGGGGTCTTTCTCTTTTTCTCGGACCCTCCACCTTACAAAACATGATATCCTTCTCCAGTGACTGGTCCCTCCTGACAACATGTGCAAAGTATGATAGACAAAGTTTGACCATTCTGGCCTCCAAGGAGCACTCTGGCTGCACTTCTTCCAACACGAATTGATTGGTTCTTTTGGCAGCCCATGGCATTTTCA